ATGGTTTTCTTATATGATATTTGGATATTATGGTTTTAGAAATGTTTTCAAACGAAATTTTTGGCTTGTATTTTTGGGATGTTTCATCCAAACTAGGGTAAAAGACCTTTTTACCCTTTCCTGACTTGGCCCAAGGCCAAGGCCCAAACTAACTGTCTAAGAGGCCCAAAATCCATAATAATCACCCAAATCCCAAATATGGCCCAATTTTCCAAATTGGCCCCAAATCCCTTCATGGGACTTCAACCAAAAGATTCCAATAAAATAGCATCAATCCAAAAATATAATTCTAATGGCCCAACAAGGCCCAAGACTCATAAGGTTCAACATGAGCCCAATACCAAGAAGCCCATTGTTAAGTATGCAGGGCGTACTCAGCTCGTACGCTTAGCGTACTCGCTTTGGGGCTTGTACGCGCAGCGTACCAACTCGTACGCCCAGCGTACTCCCCAACTTGGCCAACTTCGATCATTAAGCTCTTAATCAGTTAATACTTCAACCCAACACTCATATCTGACTTCCTTAAGGTGGTTTATCACGTAAAGTTGGCAACTTTACGTGCATGCATGGCTTAATGGGGGGTTTTATAGCTCAAAAGAACTTAACAAAGGGTCTTAACACATGCATTAGTTCATAAACACCTCAAAAGCTTGCATTTTTATGGACAAATGGACCAAAAGAACCCTAGATCTAACATCAATCACTTATGAAGTGAATCAAGAGGCTCAACACTCATTCCAAGGACTCAAAAAGCACAAAATGGCACCAAAACTAGATCTAGCATCATAGATTAGCAAGATGGGAGATTTTTACCTCACAAGGATAGCAAATGATGAACTAATCCCAGATCCTCAATCTCCAAGCACAAATCCAAATGGTTCACTTATTCTTCTCCTTCACAAAGCACCAACAATCACACTTTATGGCTAAAATCTCTCAAGAACTCACTAGGGTTTTGATTTCTGGACAAGAGGGGATGGAGGTTGTCTAAACATGACCAAATGAGGCTATCATAAGGCTTAAATAGGGTGTAATACCCTAAAAATTAGGGTTTCATTAACCATACGTACGCCATGTGTATTCAATGTACGCCCAGTGTACGTGGACCAAAGGCACGATCACTCTAGGCTAGTACGCTAAGCGTACCACCCTGTACGCCCCGCGTACTAGCTTAAGGCTAAAAAGAAGGGAATATGCACTTAGGGTTAAGAAGAGACATACCCGAAAATGAATGTTACATTCAGTCCTTATGACCGGCTACTCCAAGTTAGCCGGGAAAATGACTTAATAGGGTAATATATTTCTCACTTTGTACACATTTAGTCCTTAATGTTTTTTTGCACATTTTGTCCTTAATATTTTTTTGCAGATTTTGTCCTTAATATTTTTTTGCACATTTAGTCCTTAATATTTTTTATTTCAAAATAAGTCTTTTTTGTTTTTGTACTCATTTAGTACTTACGACTGATTTCCTTAAGTTTTCTCACAACATCTTACGTGAGACAATTATTAATGATGTGTTTGGGAATGTTGATGCTTATGTCCATCGCGATCTCGATTGATTGGTTACTTATGTCTTGTGGTTTGGTTTAGGTATTGTGTTCTGAACGTTGTAACTTCTTCATATAATATCAGATTTTAACGGTCTTTATATTCACGTGTTTGTTTTTTGAGTCTACTAGAACTTTCGTTAAGATTACTCTTGTAAAAATGTAATATATTTTTACTTGCGATTTTATAAAAAAAACATTTATACATGCATTCATAAAAAACTACGAATATAAAGTTCATAAGTAAAAATATATTACTTTTTAACGTGAGTAATCTAAATGAAAGTTGTGGTAGATTAAAAAAAAACGAACACGTGTATATAAAGACCGTTAAAATGCGATATCGTATGAAAATGTTACGACATTCAGAACACAATACTTAAGCTAAACCACAAGACCTAAGCAACCAAGCAGTCGAGATCATGATAGATATAAACATCAACAGCCCAAGCACCTCATTAATGATTGTCTCGCGTAAGACGTCGTGAGAAAAACCTAAATAAATCAATAATAAGTATTGAATGAGTACAGAAACAAAAAAAACTTATTTTGCAATAAAAAAATATGAATGACTAAATGTGAAAAAAAATATCAAAGATTGAATGTGTATAAAGTGAGAAATATATTACCCTATTAAGTCATTTTTTCGGCTAACCTGGAATAGCCGGTCATAAGGATTCAACGTGTACAGTCTACAAGTTAAATGGGTAAAAAAAACGTTATGTTCAAATATTTACAAATCAAAATATATATTACTCTTTTAAGTCATTATCCTTTTTCGCAAATATTATTGCTAAAGTCCTTAAAACCTATGTTGGTTAAGATATTATTATCATACATGACAATTTTTTCGAATAAAATTTTTTTTGACAATTTTTCCGAATAAATTTTTTTTTGTCTATTAATTAACTTTACATAAATTTTAGAAAGTTTGTAGTTTGTCTTTTTTTTTTTCCTTAAAATAATAATAATAATAATAATAATAATAATAATAATAAATCTTCGAAAGAAGTGGTTTTAATAAGAACTTTTTTTTACGCGCCATTCCGTTGTACTCATTGAGGATTACAACCAAGCATGTTAGTCGGCAGGACTGAAATTAATGAGTCGGTCCTTTCATTCCTCATCCCAACCCCTTTAAGAAAATAAATTCCAAAAAGCAATAAAGCAGAAAAATATATTTAAAAAAAAAATCAAAGAAGAAGAATAAGGCCAGAGGAGATTGTTTGTTGTCCATGTTAAGTAAAGCCATCGTTTTTCTGCATATATATAGATACACATAGAAGAATAAGGCCAGACCAGATGACCAAAGCGTCGCCGTTTCTGGTGTCGGTGCTTCTTCTTCTTCTGTTTCAGCTCATCAATGGCGAAGACCCATACAGGTTCTTCACTTGGAATGTCACTTATGGTGATATTTACCCTCTTGGAGTTAAACAACAGGTTCCTTTTCTTTTTCTTTTTCTTTTTCAACAAATCTTGCTTCCATTGATGAAGAAGTAAATATTAAAGAAGAAGAAATATCGATTTGTCTGTGCAGGGGATATTGATAAATGGACAGTTTCCAGGGCCTCAAATTGATTCTGTAACAAATGATAATTTGATCATCAACGTTTTCAATAGCTTAGATGAACCGTTTCTTCTTTCCTGGTTAGTTCTTCAATTTTCTATGTGAAATTATGACTTTTTTTGGTTGGGAGTTGCAGGTTGTTCATAAAATTTTAGCATGCTTTAGCGACTTGTACTCATACATATTGTTCTTGTAGTTCACTATGCTATAATGACTTGTACTTTATTAGATTAAATCGCTTTTTTAATGACTTTGGGACTTGCAAATTCGTCTTCATATTCAACGTGCTTTATGACTTGTACTTAATTTTGCATCTTCGTGCTTTACTGACTTGTACTTTAGGAATGGGATTATGCAACGGAGAAACTCATGGCAAGACGGCGTTTTCGGTACAAACTGCCCGATCCCGCCGGGGGGAAACTTCACTTACAATCTTCAAGTGAAAGATCAGATCGGTAGCTTCTTTTACTTCCCTTCACTTGCTTTCCACAAGGCTGCCGGAGGCTATGGTGGCATCAAAGTCGCTAGTCGCTCAGTTATTCCAGTTCCCTTCTCACCACCTGCCGGAGATTACACAGTACTCGCCGGAGACTGGTTCAAGCAAAACCACACTGTGAGTCCTAGTCTTTTGAGTAGTCTAACTGTTCTATGAAATGCCGAGCTGAAAGTAGATCGGTTTTTTTTTCCTTTTTTCTTTTCTTGAACTTAACAGGATCTAAAAGCAATTCTGGACAACGGGCATGATCTTCCGTTCCCAGATGGCCTTCTAATCAACGGGCGTGGATCAAATGGCTTTACATTTAACGTTGATCAAGGTTCGTACTTTGTAAAGTTCAAATCTTGAATCACTCATCGTGTTAATAATCAACATTCAACAAGATTGTTGATTTTTCGTTTAAACTATTTTTACAGGTAAAACTTACAGATTCAGGGTATCAAACGTTGGTCTAACAACTTCAATAAACTTCAGAATCCAAGGTCATAAGCTAATTCTAGTTGAAGTAGAAGGAACTCATTCACTACAAAACACATATGATTCAATCGACATCCATTTGGGTCAATCTTATTCCATATTAGTCACTACCGACCAACCTCCTAAAGATTACTACATTATCGTCTCAACCCGATTCACCACACCAGTCCTCACAACCACATCGGCTCTACACTACAGCAACGCAGTCAGTGGTCTCGATGACACACCTCCTGGTGGACCCACAACTGAAATCGACTGGTCACTCAACCAAGCAAGATCACTCAGGTAATTCAAAATGCCTCACACACCAACTGTTCGATGAAATGCCTCAATGAACTTAACACTTAACACTCACATACATGTCTTTTTTGTGTTGAAATAGGCGAAATTTGACTGCGAGTGGACCAAGGCCAAACCCACAGGGGTCTTATCACTACGGGTTGATCAACACGACTCGGACAATTAGGGTTGTGAATTCTGCACCGGTTATTGGTGGGAAGCAGAGATATGCGGTTAATAGTGTCTCGTTTGTTTTACCAGATACACCGCTTAAGCTTGCTGATTATTTCAAGATTTCGGGTGTTTTTAGTCTTGGTAGCATTCAGGATGGCCCGAGTGGTGGTGTGAACCTGCAAACCGCCGTAATGCCGGCGGATTTTAGAGGGTATGTGGAGGTCGTGTTTGAGAATCCGGAAGATACCGTACAATCTTGGCATGTTGATGGCCACCATTTCTTTGTTGTCGGGTAATCTTTTATTCTGCAAAACTCACATGACAGAACAGAATAGGTTGTACTGTTTTTGGCAACTGATATCCAAATAACTTGTTACATTGTGACAATAACAGGATGGATGGAGGGCAATGGTCAGAGGCAAGCCGGACTAGCTACAATTTACGCGACACAATTTCACGTGTTACCGTACAGGTACAATCTTTAATCCCAGGTGTCAACAGTTGCAGTGTGGGAGTTCTAATTTCAACGTGGATTGGGCTCTTTGTGGGCATTGGGCTTGTTGTGTATCTGATTTACATCTCACATGATGTTTCTGATACGCAGTGTGGTCCAGCTCAGGGGTTGCTGAAAATTTGGTATTTTGGTTTCAGGTATACCCGAAGTCATGGACCGCGGTTTACATGCCTTTGGATAACGTGGGAATGTGGAATGTGCGGTCCGAGAATTGGGCTCGACAGTATTTAGGTCAACAGTTTTATCTTCGAGTTTACTCGCCGGCTAATTCTTGGAGAGATGAAGCTCCGATTCCAAATAATGTTATTCTTTGTGGGCGGGCGGTTGGACATCAACCTTAAAATTGGTTATAAAGTAAGCATTTGTTTAGGAGTAATGAAAGAGAGGCTGTTTACGAGGTTATATACAAAGAAATTTCGAATTAGTACAACATATTTTCTTTGAATTAAATGTGGTTAATTTGGTTGTAGCAAATGGTTCAATATATTTATTTTGGGGTTATGGAATTACATTTATAGTGCAAAAGCAAACGGTAATCTATATGTATGTTGTAATTATTATAAACTCGAGCAAGGTATCCGAATAAAACATCTCAATTGATGAACTCGAGCAAAGGATCCTAAAATTGGCCAAAAAGTGCAAAACCCCAAACAAGAAGCAGTAACCTAACCACGTAGTAACTACCGGGGACATCTGACGTAATCGGTCTACCAAATGACTATAAACAACGTAGCGATAAATTTATGAGGAAGTAGTGTGGATGTATATTTACCACAGTTTTTACGCATGGTCAATGTGTTCCACCTTCCCTAGTAAGAAGAAAATGTTTACA